GATGGTCTGTAACAAATTCCCACTAAAAGCCTTTTCCTTTTATATCCATTAATAGAAACCCAAATGGATTCAATCTCCTTGCTATTATCTTTGATATCCTCAACTTCAACAGGATGTAACTCACATTTTACACATCAAGCCAATTATATCAAAATCCTCCATTCCTACCAGTGTTCTAAAGTCGTATATTTTATTTCTTATACTTCTAGAATTACAGTAATAACAATTAAGCCTATCCTTGTAACTACTTCTATACTCATTTCCTACACTAAACTTTTCTCTGCCTCTTATTCTTTTTGTAGTTAGTTTATCCTGGCTCTCACCACTATCTAGTCCTAGTTAAACTTCCCTTAGAGCAGAGTTAATAGTCTTACCAAACAAGCCAGCCCCTATCTTATCTAAATGTAAACCATCCATTCCAAAAGCTCCCTTCTCCCAATGAACTGATCAAGTCCAACAAGCCAATCTGCTCATCCTTACATACTAACCTAAGCCTAGCATTTAACCCTAGTGACCTTGTCAAAATAAAAATCAAGGGAAAATGTGGAGATCTTTTTACATATAATACTCAAGTTTGTGGATCAGAGTAAACAGAACCTTGGTAAAAACTGAGTAAACAACAGCAGTATAGAATACTGAAAACATGTGGATCAGAGTGAACAGAACCTTGGTAAAAACTGAGTAAACAACAGCAGTACAGAATACTGAAAACATGTGGATCAGAGTCAACAGAACCTTGGTAAAAACTGAATAAACAATAGCAGTACAGAATACTAAAAACATGTGGATCAGAGTCAACAGAACCTTGGTAGAAAACTGAGTAAACAATAGCAGTACAGAATACTGAAAACATGTGGGTCAGAGTCAACAGAACCTTGGTAAAAACTGAGTAAACAATAGCAGTACAGAATACTAAAAACATGTGAATCAGAGTCAACAGAACCTTGGTAGAAAACTGAGTAAACAATAGCAGTACAGAATACTGAAAACATGTGGATCAGAGTCAACAGAACCTTGGTAAAAACTGAGTAAACAATAGCAGTACAGAATACTCAAAACATGTGGATCAGAGTCAACAGAACCTTGGTAAAAAACTGAGTAAACAATAGCAGTACAGAATACTAAAAACATGTGGATCAGAGTCAACAGAACCTTGGTAAAAACTGAGTAAACAATAGCAGTACAGAATACTGAAAACATGTGGATCAGAGTCAACAGAACCTTGGTAAAAAACTGAGTAAACAATAGCAGTACAGAATACTGAAAAATACTTTTAAATATGAAATTAAACTAATAATTCTATCATGATTTCTTTATTATTATAGAAGAGATGAAGACGTAATGTTGTAATATTGATCAAACTGCATCATTTACGATGATTTAGTTTGAATGAGAACCAGTACTCAGTTACTTACCACCCAGATATAATAGGAAGGTACTGGTCTTTGAGTTACTCGCGACTATTGGGAAATTAAGCGAGTCTCACTATTATCTTCTCCAAGTAGTTCAGTTTTAACGATAACAAAAAACTTCAACATTACATATCTATTAGCATAAATACAAAACAAGTTACAAAAATAAAAAGGAAGGACTGTTACCATGACTGTTGCCGAGGGCTTGGAGGAGCGATTACTGTTTGCACTTGAAGATGAAAATGCACTGTTTTCAGGTTCTGTAAAGACATTGTAAAGAATGTAATAATTCTCTTAATTAATTAATATAATTATTACTTTTTTATAATTATGATCAATTCTTTTAGCTGTATACTTTTGAGTATTCAGTAAACAATGCTTGTATTGACAAAAGAATGATCAAAACAATCCTGGAAGTATTTGCAATTTTTATTTACATGGCAGTGAAACGTTAGATGCTATATTCTTCAGTGTTCTGTACTTCTTGTCCTATCTAGCCCAGTCTGTTTCTACTTAGGTTCTGTTCATCTATAACCACATCCTTTAGTTTTCTATACTTCTTGTTCTGTTTAACTAGTCTTTTTGATTAGTACGTTTTATGGTTGAAAATGCAGAATTTTTAAAAGTAATGCACCACCTACAGTGCTTGTTGCCTAACACTAAGTACATGTGCAGTGGTATATGGAATACTGAGCACCTCCAAAGCTAATAAAATCAAATCATAGTAAAAACATAATGATGAAGTAAAAATACATTTATTTTATTAAGCAATGTCTTGAGCAATTGTTCTCTGTCAGGCTTAATATGATAGCATAATACCTCTTACAATACACAGGCTTAATATGATAGCATAATACCTCTTAAGATACACAGGCTTAATATAATAGCATAATACTTCTTAAGATACACAGACTTAATATAATAGCATAATACCTCTTAAGATACAGCGAGATTCTAGTAGAGTTTGGATTGGATAAGCCAGTTTTGTGATTTTTATTTTATTGCATTTATCTCTCATTAGTGTGTGGATTCCAGTTCTTCTGAAAACTTTATCATTTCCACTACAGTGGGAAACTTGGTACATTTTTCAACAGCTCTAAAGCTACAAATTAAGCTCATGCATTGTTGAACATTTAAAAACAATGAAATATTTATTCAGTTATCAGTTGTCTGTTGCAACAATACTGTATATGTATTTCCAGATGTTATTCGAAAAGGCCCAAAACTTGTGTTAAAAATCATGTCATCTGCACGTTTTTTTCTATTATTCCAGGTAATTTAGTATTGTTTTACATGTTCATAAGTGTGTTTACAACAATGCTAGGGCTTTAACTGTTTATCTATAATTACTCAAATGTTTGTAATCAACTAATGGATTTTTGTTTTAATATCATTCAAATGTGAAAGTACTAACATACAAAGAAATTTACAGGCTTAAGTACCACTTGAAAAATATAGGTTTTTATCATCCTTGCATTTTAACATGGTACTTCAACTTTGAAGTTTTTTTTACATTAAACCAACAGAATAAAATAATTCTAACTCATTTTATTTATTAGACAAATGAGTACTTAGCCAAAGTAAAAACCTAGTAAAGTGAATATTTTACAACTAGCTCACATTTAAAGTCAAACAACATAAAATAATGTCACTCTTATTCACAAAATAAACGTTTTGATAATTATCACTTCACTTTACGGAGATGTAAAATACAATGCTGTTATTTTTATGCATTGTAATAAAATTTCCTGCATATTATAATGCACACTTATACGTAAATGTGACTTCTGACTATTCATAATTTTTTTACTGAATTTAAAGTGTTTTTGATGACAACACTCAAGAACTAAACTAAACCATCATTTGACAGCAACTGCAACCTTAACCACCAGCACAAGAATATAAAACAGAATACAACTGATTGACAAAGTAGTGAACTAATCCGAAATCACAAACCTACTTCACTAAACATATCCAATATATTTATGGGGGCTTGCAGCTTAAAAATTGAGAATGCTACAAATAAATAAAACAAACATTAAATTAAAAATCAAATTACTATCCATGACTCAATAATAAAATACCAATTTTCTAGGGCATTCCAGAACTGGATTTTGTTAAATAAGATTCAGGAATTTTTTTAGGTTTTCAAGCACCCATATGAACTCTGTGGTTTTTACCTTAGTTCTGTTGACCAATAACCACATTCTTTACTGTTGACCCAGTCTGTTTTTACTTAGTTTTTTTTTTATAACTTTCAGTTTAACAAACACGTATGTAAGGACAAATACATGAACATGGCATGCAGACTGACAAAGGATAAAACTAGGATTGTCACTGATGCTAAAAAAACATCTGTGCTAGGGCAAACCTAATGTTATTCTAAAAAAATAACAAAGATAATTTAAGGTGTGGATAACTAGCTTTTGGACCATGCTTTACTCTTATTTAAAAGCAAAAATATACAAGCTCTAGAAATAACAAACCTGAACACAAAATATTCCAACTAAAACAGGATAATTTATGCATAAAAAGGCTTACCACGAATGACACCGTAATCTTTATTTGTTATTACATAAATGTTAAAATAAAAGTATTGAGTACACAGTAAGAACATCTATAGTTAAATACTAACAGTAATACAATTTCATACCATCAGACAAGGGTATCTGGTTTTGAAGGAATTCAAAAAGAGTTGTAGGTCCAGATGGTCTGCTCTGAACAACATCTGTCTCTTCATTTTTTTTCTCTCTTCTTTTATTCTGGTCTGTAAAAGTGTTTATACATCTTGATTACATTGCTTTCTAACTTACTGGTCTGTAAAAGTGTTTATACATCTTGATTACAGTAAGTTAGAAAGCAATGGTCTGTAAAAGTGTTTATACATCTTGATTACGTTGCTTTCTAACTTACT